AATGAGATTATGCACAATCTAGTTCCTCCAAAATTCTGGCTTAATTCTACTGCTGAAGTAACGTCTTACTTTTCCACTTGCTGTGTAAGCATGTGGGGGCTGAACTTCAAAAGCAGGTCCTCTTCCATCTGTGAAGCGCTTTGGGATCCAACAGGATGTAAATTACATTTACAAATTCAATTATTAATTCACTTATAATGCACCTGCAACTATAAAACGCAACATCAGTGAGTTTCAATTTTAGGCCCTATGAAAATGCAAGGAATTGAACTAAGCCCTGGTTTCATTTTGTATCAGTTGTTTTACATCAAGCTGATCATGGGTCCTAGCTGTTAGATTATATGGCTTGATCCACTGATGCAACCATTCCAAGACTTTCTCCTCTGCTTTTTTCTAACAAGCAGAAAAGTGTGACTCATAAAGACAAGGCACATAGACTCTGCCCGCAGAATCTGACTACACCGACACAATTATTATTCCTGTGGCCTCTCCCCCCCCACCCCAGCATAATTAATAAGCAACAGTGGTGAGGATATAAACGCACAAAGACGGAGCTTCTGAATAAACATGAATTATTCTGAGCAATCTCTTTAGAACTGCCAAAAAATGAAAATACTCCTGGCATTCCTTTCATTAGACTGACGTATTTATTTTTATTAAATTTTTAAAAATGAGTCCGCTTTGATGGCAGCTTCGGGAAAGCAAGTTATTGCAGGAGCTGCAGCATCCATCTCCTTCAGCTGGCACGCTTCCTGTCATCTCGCTGGCTGATGTGATTCTCTCTGGAAAAAAAGTGTGAGGTACTTGGAAATTTTCTCAGAGATTGAGAAAGCTAAAGAAGCTATTTCACTTGGCCTTTGTGGCAGTCGGGCTGTTTTATGTGTTGTGCTGGAGAAGCACGTCTGCTGTGTTGCAGTCAAGAGGAGAATCGAGGTTGACTCTGTCTCTCAGCAGCCAGACCTGTCTGAAGGCTGGTCTCAATATTTCAGATCTCCGAGGCTCAGGGAGATTGTGCCTGGTTCGTGTCTGGATGGAGGGAAGCCACTGAACTAGTATCAGATGAAAATACTAGATCAGCCAGAACAGTAGGCTGCAATATTCCTTCTCGATCAGAAGTTCCCGGTGTTAACTTTCTCAAGTGAACAGAATTGAACAAAATAGTTAACCATGGCCAAAATAAAAAAACAACACTTTGATCTCCCTGAAGCTGCCTGTCTTATTGTACGTTTCAAGTTTGTACCTGCACTCCTCTCTGATTTCTCTGTAGCTCAGTACCTGAGACTGTCTCACTGGTCTGATTTCTAGAGCCTAATCACACTTTGTGATGGGCTTCAGAGTGCTGCCTTTGACCACCCTGGTTGTTGACTTTTATTCTGAATGTCCACATCCTTTCACATGCAACAGTGCCTCCTATTTTTCAGTTCTAATTGCAGCTTGTCTCTAATTGTGAGCTTGTCTCCAGCTATGAGCCTGGCCAGTACCTGGATGAGAGACCTCCTGGGAAAGCTAAGGTTGCTGCAGGAAGAGCTGTTAATGAGACCAGTAGGGGGTGCTCACACTGTTGTCTGTGTGGGTCCTGATGCCACTTGTACTGTAAAAAAGGTGCAGTCCTCCTGTGCTTCTCCTGAGAGGTCATGTGTGGAGAGCTTTCTGGTACACTTTGGCTGCTGTCACATCATCTAGGTGGATGCAGCACATTGGTGGTGGAGGGGAGTCCCCATTACCTGTAAAGTGCTTTGAGTGGTGTGTCCAGGGAAGGTCTATATAACTGTAAGGAATTATTAATTAACACTTGCTGTTCCAGGTCTGTGTTCAATTGTTTAACTATTCCTGCCTCAGTTATCCTGTCTCATTCTTATGAATACAGGACGCCAGACCTTCCTTTCCGTCTTCTCAAGCCATCCAAAATGATCAGCTCCCTACCCCCACCTTGTACATTTTATCTTGTTTTAAAAGGGTGTCCCATATATCTCATCCATATGACCAGGCTAATGTACTGTACTATATATAAAGGAAGCAAGTAGTAATAGTTTCTTTTTTATTTTTCTCATTGTGTACTTGATCTTATTAAGAAATATCGCAAGGGACATATTTATAAGTGTTGTAACACTATAACATGATTCTGGAAATATTGACAATACCTGAACAACAAAGGCATTTTGCAATAAATGGTTGAGGATTCTGGACATACAGTATGAGCCATTTTCATAGCTCTTTATTCCTTGGTGTGCTTTACAGTGGTTCATAAAAAAATTGTTGTTTCAGTGCTCTGTGTTGCCATAGCTGAGAGGCTTAGATTATAGTGATAACAAACGTATTTTGTCTAAAAGGTAAGAAACTATAGCAACATGCTTTGAATAAAACAATGAATAGATAATGTGTCCATGAACTAGTATACACAATGATAATACCTTGTAAAGCTTAACACGATATTAAGGGTGAAAGGTTTAAATAAATGATATTTTTTCCATTTTAAATGATACTGTATTTAATGATACAATGAAAGGCTAGAAACACCCACTGTCATGGTCTTTCACAATCAACAGCTGTTCACTGTCTCATTATTTTTTTTTCAGTGCATGTTCCCTTTGCATTTGTTACATCATATTGGTTTGGAATCTGGTAAACCTAGAAAAAAGTAAGACCTTCTGATATATTTTTGTTTTGTATCTTTCCCTTTACAGTGAGCTAAACATGTCCTCTAAAAATACTCCCAATTAAAAATAGCATTTTTGAAATAAAAAACAACGACCTTTCTTTTCACAGGAAAAACAGCTCTCATGTGTGGGGGGAAAAATATTTTCTCCAAAAGGAAAGAGAAATTTCCTGTGTTAATGAAATAATGTGGTTGGCAATGAGACATTTATGAATGAATACAGCTAGAATTCTCTAGAGGGGTTTGGATAATTTATCTCCTTTCTTGCAGCAGAGCATGCAGAAGACTTACTGTAGATCTACTAATCAGAAGCCTTTTTTTTCCTTATTGATCAGACTTAATAAAAATTTATGAAATGTTTTGCTAAGGGCAGAGAGAAGAAAAAAACTAGCCTTTATGGATGGTGGGTGTTTTGGTAATGCTTTATTCAAAGTGTGCCCTGTATGAAATGCATTACGTCCTTAGTAAGAACAACTTATTGATGGGAGTTTGTATTTGCTGCTTACAACGTCTACGCTAGGCACCTATAATGAGCTAAAGGTAGCAAGCCATCCATCACGTGCTAAGTGTATGTCACTCATAAAGAACTAACAGTTACACTACATTATTATCTAAAATAAGGTGTTGACAGTGTTTGCAGATTTGTTAAAACTATTTTTTTACATGGCTAAGATGAACCCTTCAGCCCAGCAAGGGAACAAATGCTTTGCTGTTTATTATATGATGTTAGGGGTCAACAGCATCGGACAAGGAAACCCCCCCCCCTCATTGATCACTTCCAGCTTTCTCTGCTACAGGACATCTCCACTTTGGCAAAGGACAAAACAACTGTTCTGAAAGGCCCAGAAGGAGGTTAATCCACACCATAACCCTAACCAGATGCCGCATATAAGGCATCCATGTACTGAACCAGGCAGGCTGCTGTGGAAAAGAACACTGTGTTTCCAAAGGGGATGAACAGATAAATAGCAGCAAGTGGTGTTTACACAGAATCCGGCTGGGTTGCGCAAAAGATGTGGTCACTTAAAAGCAAAAACTAAAACTAAAACTGCGCACGTCTTTCAAAGCCCTGGTGTAAAGAAAAAGGTGTTTAGTGGGTTGTAAGGTATTTTGAGGAGATATCTATAATTTTAAGATGAGTGTTATGGGGGGGCAAGGGTTATATTAAATCTCATCCAAAAATACCAACGTCCTCTCCGTTTTCAGATCTAGCAAACAATCTTGCTAAAAGACTGAAATAAAAATCCCATTACAGCCCATCTAATTGGTTATATAACACACACAATGTCTTTTCTGCAGGGAGCTCCGCTGATCCCCAAACTCCCATCAATCAAAAGCTGTAACAGTGGATTCATGGGATAATTCTGTTCATCATACGACTGATGGGGATATTCTTAAACTCCCACTTACAGTATTTACAGTGTTCCATTCCATGCCTAGTTTCCAAATTTACAAAGCTCTTTCATGTATCGGCAAATATTTATATACTCATTCCTGTGCTAACATGCCTCTAGTTTGTACTTTTAAAACTTACTTTCAGAAAAGGGGAGGGAATTTGCCCGTGAAGAGGCAAATCACCCTATTTTGTCAAACTCATTCTTTCCGTTCGTTCCTCTGCCTTTTCCCTACACCATACTACCTGCATTACAACTCGCATAGTGTGCATTGTCATTACTGAACAAGTGTCTAACAGCCCCATTGCATGTTTAAATAGAAAATGTACAGGCAATAACAGAGGTTCTTATGTATTGGCTCACAAATCAAATTGAAATCATCAATGTGGCCTTACGCTGAAATTTCATTTGAAGCCCAGGCATTAGAATAAATGGATAGCTCTCCAGGAAACAAGCAATAAGATCCATTGAAGTCATTTGTCTTTATTACATTTCCTGTGAATGAATTTGTGCTCTCCTTCCATCATAGAGCAATCGATACTGGTGCCTGGTTAAATGAGCTATTCCTTAATGTGTCCAAGCAGAGCAGTCTAGTAGCGATCTCATTGCCTGTCACTGGGAAATGTTCCGGACATCCAGGATTGTAGATGTTTTTAATCAGCTCCCTTTTGTCTGCTTTTGAGCCTCTGAGACCCTTGAATGAAGCCCTGAGATGTAGCACAGAGAATGTTTCGGCTGTCTTGGCCTGGGAGCATGGCAGAGTACTGGGAGAGAGCAAGATAGGAAGTTAAATGGTGTAAATGTGAATGGGGAATTTTGTGAATTCATGTTGAGAGCTGACTGATAGTTGCATCTAGAGATCTTTCATCACTCCGGCCCTAGCTATCATACGGGTGTTGCAGGCATTTTCAGTCACTGATGCAGGATTGCTTTAGTCCTACCTAATTAAGCCAATGTTGGGCTCCATCTGGATGCCTGCAAACAGATGTGGGAAGAAACCCCGAGCCCCAGAGTGCGGACGCATACGTGAAGCAAGTGGCCTGCAGAGCACATTGGGTCATTTTCCCATCGCTCCAGAAATCATTGTCTTCTTTTTGTCCAGACAAAGACGTGTTGCAGAGCCAAGGAGCTGATGTCTATCCCCCTGGTCAGCAGCCAGGCAGCTACAGGAGGTTAGAAGCCCTGGCCAGCACCGTCTGGAGACGTGCCTACGATCAGACAGCCACCCAGCTGCAGCGCACCAAGAGCCAAGGGCAGGAGCTGGTCATGTGGGTGCCTGGAGTAGCCCCATTGGTAGGGTTTCTTCTGTTTGTTTGTGTTGGGTTTCCTATTTGCAATTATGCAGAATGTTAAAATGGGACAAGCACAGCTCTTATTTATACTAAAATGTTTGTGGTCGCATTTATCTCCCAGCGCAGCACGTAGGAGCTGCACCATCATTCTTATGAGTGCATCATTTGAAGACGTGGAACATATAAGCAAATGGAAGCTGAAAGGATTTCAAAGCATCAACAAGCATGTCACGTGCATAACTAATTAAAACAGCGCTAATCTGGGACAAATGCACAGTTTCGCATGTAGGGGGCAAATTTGATATTCAAATATACTAGAAGAAACGACTTCAGAAATCATACATTTTGTTTGATCTGACGAATGCTTGGGCGTGTAAAATTTTGCAAGATTTGTTTCTTATCAGTCTCTTGCCTTATCTGTGTAGTAATTTGCAGTCTGGGAGCCTTTTATTTCTTGTCTTCTCTGTAGTCTTGCTGTGACTGAGTTTATCATCATTTTTCACAAAGCCGCTGATGGGGAGCAGATACTTTCGATATAGAAGTGTACGGGGGATGGACAAAATAATGGAAACACAAAGCAATATGTGAATATGTATTAACTGATAAGGAGTCAGGCCACCCTGTGCCTTCAGAACAGCTTCAGTTCTCCTTAGAATACTGTTATACAACTATTCCTAGTGCGATATTGGACCACTGTTCAAGAAGGACGGCCTCCAGTCCTTTGAGAGATGAAGGAGGTGGAAGTCTACTCCCCAGTCTCTGTTCCAGTGCTTCACTTAAAGGTTCAGTGATGTTGAGATCCAGTGGTTGGAAGAGGCCATGCAAGGTGTTTGAAATCATGGGGGTTCATGAGGCCACTCTTGAATCTTTTGAGCCGCGTGCATGGGGACATCATCTGGTTCGCAAATGAGCACAATGAGCCAATGAGTCAATGTTTGCACAATACATGCGCCTGCTTGCCTCAACCACGCAGAGTAGTAATCGGACTCAATGGCCCCCGAGAGATGCTTTGTTTAACAGTTGGGAACAGCCAGTATGTGTTAAGGCTTTCTCCAAACAAAATCCTTTCAGATGTAGGAAAAAGATTAAATTACTACTTATCAGATCATATTACTTTCTTCCACTGTTCAATAGTCCAAGATTTGTGCTTACCACACCAGGTTATGCATTGCTGTGCATTGGCCTTGGTTACTGGAGGTATCCGAATGGCAGCTGTACCATAAATAATCAGCTCTATGAAACTTACAAAGTAAAAGTTTTTGTTCAGACTGCATCACGGAGGTCCGGTGGGAATTTCTGAGGCTCTTTTTTGTGGGTTTTAATAACTGTCTTGCTAAGTGTCTATGCCTTTGACTTGCAATCACAGTTTCTGTTTACTGGTGCTCTTTTCCCTTGTTTGGCGTAGGGGACACTGTTCACCTTGAAATGTCAAATCATTTGGCTATTTCTGTGACTGAAGAACCAGCTAGCTGACTTCTTTCAATATCTGTTAGATCTCATGTTTCTTTAGAAGCTCACATATTAAAAGTATGATTTTAAACATCTTTTATAGATGAAACATAGCATTGAAATTCATTGAAATTCATATGAAACACAAGTGTAGAATCCTTTTATCTTGTGTTTTAGTTACTTCACTAAGTCCATCTTGGTTGGGTGTTTCCATTAGTTTGTCAAACCCCTGTAAATTTGGTTCTGAGATCATTTTACTTGGGGCACAACTGATGCTGTCTTATCTCTATCTCTGTGCTGAGCTTATGTGTCGTCTACACCATTTATGTACCCCGCTAAAATAAATCGGAGCAAGAAATATATCCCCCTTCACTTGTTTCTTTTAGGTTTGTTTGACTTGATAATTAAACCAAAATAGAGTAGTTGGCGCACTTTTAGGAACAAGGAACTGGCATAGTCCCCAAGTCAATCTGACCTCCAGGACTTGCTTTCCTTAACCAGCACAGAAAAATCACTGTTTTTCAATACAGGAAAAAGGTGGCCTGCTTCCCACATTTAAGAAAAATATATCTCTTGTATGCATTTTTTTGCCGTTTTGTCTCAGTGTGTGCAGTGAGAGAGACATAGTGTAGCAGTTTATATTCCAGAATGGTAAAGTCACAGCTTGACTATGACCTCAGTGAGTGTGGAGAGCTGACAAAGGCAATACTGTGCTGCGACTCTTTGCTATATAAACACAAGGATGTGGTTTTAGCTGTGTCTGACAACAAATGCTGAGCTCTTTTGGCAAACGTTTCCACACAAGAAACATGAACATTTTCTTTGGACTTCCATCACATGTTGTCAGCATTCTAGATTTTACAATATTAGTAGATGGGTCACAATGTTGGTTCTATATATAAATTTATATATGTTTTTACGTACCTATTAGTACAGTATGTAGTTGTGAATTAGTATTTTAAAAGAAAACCTACACCCCAGACGGGGTGTCAGTCCATCACAGGCATGCCCACTAAGCCTGCAGAGATGATTTTGACACCAGTCAACATAGTTGGCAGGTCTTTAGAAATCGTTCTAAAAACAGAGCCCCCCCTAAAACACGCTTATAGGAGAAACATGCAAACACGCCTCAGAAGGCACCCCAATGGAATTGAACCCAGGACTCAAGAGCTGTAAGGCAGAAGTGTGATCTGCATGATCCACACCCACATGCCAACCCCCAGAGCTTAGCTTCGGTTAAATTCCCCATTTTATATAAGGACAGGTGCCACGTACTGGGCTGGCATTGCTGCCTCTCAGTGCTGGGGTCCTATGTTCCATTCCTGGGGTGCTGTCTGCGTGGAGTTTGTATGTTCTCCCCATGTTCACGTGGGTTACCTCTAGATGCTCTGGTTTCTTTCAACAGTCCAAATACATAGAGAGGTGACCTGGCTTCTGGGATTTGGCCCTGGTGAATCTGTGTGCATCTGTGTTTGTTCCCATGTGTGTCCTGCAATGGACTGGTGCCCCGTCCAGGGTGTACTCTGCCTTGTACCTGTTGCTTGATGGGATAGGCTGTGGCTCCCCAGGGCCCTGTACTTGATAAAGCGGTTAGAAAACGGATGGATAGGTGTCGCACTGTCCCACTCCTACCTTACACAATGAGGAAGTAAGGGTCGCGACCAATCAGAGTGAGCAGATTCCAGGGTGTGCTGTGAGTTGTTACCATGCTTTATGAAGGGCTCTCCACTTCAAAGCATTTATACAGGGGTCTGAATGTCTTCTTCTCATCACCGTCACGGGGGACAAGCTGTTAAGACAAATTAGCGTGAAATCAAAGGGGGAGCGGGGGTGTTCAGTGTCTTCTTTTGCTGGGCATGGAAACGCATCAAAAGATTCCAGGCTGATCAGAGCGTATTTCTCTGGCATCTTAGAAACCAAGCAAGGACACTGGAGGGTTCTTTTACCATTTGTAAAGCAAATGTTGAAAATCAAACAGCTATCTTCCGCCGTGTTCAGCGTGTCGTCTCTGTTGGAGATGGCTGACTTTTTCAGCTCTCCTGAGGTCAGCAGTGGGCCATCAATGCAAGCTGTTGCAGAAGCTGTGTCCCTCTACTTTTCACCTCATCCTGCCCACACTGATATCTGACCCGCAGCTGTTTGGGGTGTTTGTTAAAGGTCATGTTAGGAGGCAACGAAGGATAAAAACAAATAATCCTTCTTGCTTTAGTTCGGTACAGGTTTAATGGCATGCTTTTTATTTGCAGCTGTATTCTCTCTTATCACTGCTCTCTCATTATCACACATTTAGCTGAGTCTTACTCATTTTCAGGTTTAGGAAACACTCTCCTCATGTGCTGGGAGCACACCAGAAGGTTACATGGAATTATATGTGCAAAAACCTCAGGCCACCCCCTACGAGTCTCTTAATAGGATAGCAGCATTGCACTGCAAACCTCAGAATGCGAAAGTGTTACATTTCACATGTAGGTGTGCTGCAAATAATTCACTTAGATAAAATGATATAAACCTGTGCACTGGACATCTGTTATATTAAAAGGACATGATTCACCGTCCTGCACTGAAGTAGTTTGTTTTTGTATTTAGTGAATTGTTTTACATGTTTAATTCTGATCAGTTTAAAGTTTGACAACTCATAATTGTTATACTGTTTACAAAATTTGATTTTTTTCTTAGCCTAAAAATATGAATTAATTAATGAAAAATTATATAGAATTTATCAATATTCTAAGATTCGTGATTATGCATGTAGAAGTCTTAACCCAATTATATAATTTCCTGAATTACAATATAACTGGTCCAGTTGTTTGCTTTAAGGTGTTATAGAGTGACAAACGCCTCATTCTTAGCTTCGAAATTATATCCCTGACCTAAGTCATATTTTCAATATTAGCACACAGTGCTAATATTGTATCAGTTTATGAACAACTGTTTGTCATTTGCGTTTATTTATAGAGGTTCTTCCATCACCAAGGCATGGAAATATTGTTACTGCTCATAATAGAAACACAGAGCTGGAGGTTGTTTGAGTGTCTCAGTGTCCTTGGCGCGGATAAGATTTGACGTCAGCTAATGAATACAAAGTCTTTCCGACTTGAGTGAAGATAACTTCTGGTTACTTTGTGGGAGCCTTGCACCCAACAGATGCAGAGCTATATTCCACTATTGTCTGTGAGAGTGGATCTGTGGATACTATGTGCTCACAAATTGTTAGAGACCGCATCCCAAACCGATGGGTGAACATGGCACAGTCATGTATTAAGGTTGTGTAAAGCTTGCGACAACGGCATTGTGGAGAATGTTTTTATATTCCATTGGGCCAACATCCCCTGGAATCTACAAATTTGCAATGACCCATTGTTAATGTACTATGATGTAAAGGTTTCGGAATGTTGCCACAGTATTTGGTCAGCTGTGATGTCACCTCTGAATCTTTATAGCCTCTCTTCCAGTCTGCTGCTGTTTGCTGTGAAAAGGTTGGCACTGAAAGTGGTGTAAAGATGTTTAATACACAGCCTCAGCGTTACTGCCTTAGGACATGTAGAATCGAGGAGTGAGAAAGTTAATAATTACAGTAGCTGTGCTTGTGGATCTTTTCAATTTGAAGAGTAATAGCAACAAGAAAGAAAGCAGCACAAGTAATGAAAAAGAAATCTGTTTTAAAGAAAAACAATTCAACTTCTTCTAAGCTTACTGCCTGGGAGAATGGTAAAATTAATCCAATTAAGGTTTAACTGGATCAGTTTAGCTCTTCTGTATGACCTTAAGCTGTTGATGTAGAATTTGACATCCCGCTTTTTTCTGGGCCACAAGAACTTGGGAACTCTTGCATGTAACCACTTTCGTAAGTAACAATATGAGCTGTTGGAAAGCAGTTAAATTAGTATATATTCTAATGAATGCTCTTACAGGCATTGAGTCTCTGAGAAGGATAGGATGTGTCTCATTGCGCTCTCCTTAGCTTTCACAATACAACCTGCAATCTGATTTTAACAGACCAGTTTGGCCAAAAAGAACTTGGAGTTTGCGGGTGGAGTTCTCCTGGCTGTCCCAAGCTCAGTGTCAGGGCTGCTGTTTGGTGGAACGGAGGAGCAGAAAGACAAAGAGAAGAAAAAGAAGAAGGAAGGAGAGCTTCTACAGGTAAGGAATGACCACACAGAGCTGGACTCTATGATCACCTTATTGGTCATATACAATTTCTTGTATTAGGAATTTGTCTTTTCACATATCCCAACTGACTCTCCATGAGACACACAGACAGGGAGATAAACTTAGGGTCAGAATGCAGGGTCAGCCATTTATATGGCACCCCTGGAGCAGTTGGGATTAAGGGCCTTGCTCAGGGGCCCAACGGAGTAGGATTCCTCTGCAGGACGTGGGATACGAACCGGCAACCTTCCAGCCACAGGGCGCAGATCCTTAGCCACAGACTGCCCCACAATCTCTTCACATTTAAGAGTTTTGTGTTATTTACATGTATAGTTGACAGCCTAAAAAGTGCTGATGACTCAAGATAAATACTGTTCTGGGGCTAGAGGAGACCTTTGAAGTTCGTCCAGCTAATTAGGTAAATAAATCTGAGCAGTGTGGCCTCCTGGGACCACATTTAAAAGATCTTATGTTGTTGTCAGTTTTTGCTCTTTATTTGTTATTTTATGAATTTATTTTATTGTATAAATGTGCGTCCAGTATGTTGCTCAGCAACCTGAGTCAAGTAGCTTTGAAGCTGCAGTTTTTAGTGTTCAAAAGTATTGGTGTGGTTCAAAGAAACACCAGTGGGTCATTAAAAATGCTTGCCACATGCTTGTATGGGTATAAGTGTATGCTATCTAAAAACAGTGAAATATTTTGTAGACATCTACCCATGCTTTTATGAAAAAGAAAAATGGACAGTTTTTCTATAAAACGGAACTTTTTAGCCATTTGTATCACTTCAATACAACACATGGAACTAGGGGACAGCTATTACTTAGTTCTCCATAATAAATTCATGAACCAGGAATTAAATTACTTTTTTATGGTGCACATTCAATGCCTTATGCCAAAGGGTATCTGCAGCCATCTGCTGCAGAGAATAAATGTTGTTATTTATGAAGACTTGCTGAGCTAGTGCAGATTGAGCAATATTCCAGAGAGGAGAAATTACAACCTTCTGAAGCTGCAGTTTACCAATAACAGGGCCCACGGTGGTGACTGGTGTCAGTTCAGCAGTTTATGAATTTGCTTGACATTGCTGGCATGGCCATGAGACAGTTCCTGTTCACTGGTCAAGGCATGGCTGCAGAATTCCTTGACTTTCATTGTTGACCCCCATTTGACATAATCAAGCGTGCATTTAAAGCATTTGGACCTGAGGTGTTGATCAGCCAGAGGCCAGTCTTTATTTGCCTTTTGACGGTATTTAAGAAAATGTAATTAGCTACATTCCTGGCATTCAGAACATTCCCCTCCACCCCCCACAGCTCCAGCATCCATGCAGGGTTTGAGGAATAATGGGAATGTGTCAGCTGCTCAAAACTGGCGACTGTTTCCTTACCTTGTCAAAAAATGCAAAGTACCTGGGTGGAGTGTGTCAGCTTGTGTATCTGTGGAAAGTGAAGTCAGACATTCTGGCTGGCTGGATGTTAATGCTTTAGCCCTCTATTACTGTATATCTGAAGCCCGTAGAAAACGCAGTGCATCATGGGGTGGCCAGTAAGCTCCTGTGATTCCTATCGTATACACACTGGTGTTTAGGTTAGCTGACCTACACAAACTGCATTGTGACAAGTGCACACTGTAGAGGAATTAACTTTGGTACATGTTTGTAATTTTGGAATTTATGCCCATGTTTTTTCATGTGGAATGCATCCCCATGTTCTTCCATGCATACAAGATTCCATGGATATGACTGGTGGTGAGATTGAGTCGCCGTGTGTGTAAGGCTGTTGGTCATTGGATTGTGTTCCCACTGGTCCCATATGTATGTGTGCTACGTTACATTGCTCTGCTGGGCACAGTTTCTATGACAGAATTGACTGACAGTCTTTAGACACACCCGGTCTGTATAGCAAGCCATTACAATATGACCCTATGTATTTTGTAGAGTGATGAAGTTCAGGGCCTTGTCTCCAGTCTGGGACATCAGTTGCAGAATGCCTTCACGTCAGTGGTGTCCAGTGTGAGGAGTGCACCAGAAGTCACTGTGGCCCTGGCCAAAGACACAGCCGGTGCTCTGATAGAAACCTGGAGTTCAGTGCTGAAAAATGTCTCTCACTACATCCCGGTGAGTCACTTCCAGAGGCCCCCTGCTGCCTTTGATAATTCCATTATTTTGGATTAAAGGCATTGATCTGTCTGGCATCCTGTTTATACAGGATCTGGGTGGCTGTGTTCGCTCCTCACGTGCTGAATCATACCTCTCTCTCTCTCTCGACCTTTTGCCAGCTTCCTCGCTGGCTCATCTTGGATAATCTGATATCTGTGTTTTGACTTTAAAAAATGTAATTTAAAGGCCTTTACACTAAATGGCTGAGCAATTTGCAGCAGCAGCAAAGTTTGCTATCAACTATGGACTGCTGAAGCTCTTTCTGACCTATGTGTTAGGATGGTAGAATGGCAGTCTTGGTTGTTGTGTAGAAACAGCCTGAGAAAAGGCCCAAGTCTGAAGCATATGTTTCTGCTCTGGGATTTTTGTTATAACTCTCTTGGTGAGATGTTCAATACGATCATGTAGGGGTACAGTACATCAGCTTGAAAAGCTCCTGTAGTGGATCTTTTGATTTACGCAATGGTAGTGGTATAAAGTAATGTATGTGCTTTAATGTGTGTATGTAGCCACATTGCTCTTTTAAATTTTAAAAGAACCATTTTCAAAGCAGTCAAATTTCCTCAGCTTTTGTTGGACATGACAAAATCGCAAGCCATTGGCATTTAGTGTTCTGGTACTGTTATTCCTGATAAAAGCACGCAAAACTGTGTGTGTGGGACTTGGAAAGTCGGAGTGTTCTGTTACTTTTCCTTGTGTTTCAAAGGCACAAGCCTTTGGCTGTAACCTAGTGAAAGAGGTTTCAGTGGCCCAGAAAGTCAATGGGTACCATATGTCTGACAGGGAATAGTGCTGCTGCGTGAGTGATCCTTCCCACTGACATCATGTCTAGGACGTGCACTCAGGAGAAACAGCCAAATCTCCAGATATTTTTCTTGAATGAATTTGCTTTGAATTGTCTGAGTGGAATATAAAAATAAACCATTTAGAACCCATAAACACTTCATTTTCATTCCAGCACTCCAGGGCAGAGACATTAGAATTTTACTTTTTTTTAACCTAATTTAAAATACAGCCATGTAAATTGCTTTGCTTTAGAAGTTAGCAGCTGCCAAATGCTGTACACAGTCGCTTTTACCTTATGGGGAATTTAGGCAAATACTGTATATTAGGCTGATGTTGGGCTGCATGCAATTTTTTTTGGTACGCGTTGTACTTTTAATTTTTCATAGCATACAAGAAACTGACTAACAAGCATTGTTAAGAGATGTCTGTATATAACTTGCTACAGTACTTTCTACAGCTGGGGACACACTTATTATATTGCTTCATAATTTGGTTCTATTTAGTAGCTTTTATATAGTTTAAAAGACTCCTAGCAATATTAAAATCTCAGGGAATATAAAAAAATGCAGTACAGCAGGAATTCAGCAATACGAGCTATTAAATGTTCTGTTCCAAACACAGGACAGTTCCTCTGGATGTGCCTGCAGAACAAAAAGAGCCTGGCGGCTTCAAATTCATTCTTTACGGTTTCAGAGAGAGGCAGTATACTTTCCCCTTATGTTATATTTGCTGCAATATTACCATGAATATTGGCATTAGTTGAAACCAAGGATATTCAATGCTAGTGCTGCAGGACTCTGCAGATTCTCTAAAGATTCTTCTTAAAGAAGCAGCGTTTGAGGTTCTGGAAGAAGTGGTTAAATTCATTCAATTAAGCTAATAACAAGCTGATTAAGGTCATTTAGAGCTCTGTAAGAACGAAAACCTGCAGACACGCCAGCCCCTTAGAAACAATATTTCTATGAGAAAGTTTTGCAAAAAGTGGAGAAGATACCACAGCGAATTCTAAACAGTAAAGAGAGATACTGTATGTGGATGCTTGCAATAGCAGTTAGAATTATTTTTGCTTTGTGTCAAACACAGACTAGGAATGGAAACAAAAATATTTTATAAACCCTGCCCAGGCTTTCTTCCTTGAGAGTTTTCCGTTGTGCTGCCACAATCCACTAAGAGCCTGCCTAGCATTTCCAATTATCAACACAAGAGGAAAGGCTGACATTTTGGCAGAATATCATTGATGGGGGGGGAAAAAGACAAATACAGACCGAACAGTATTTGACATGTTCCTCTTGATTTCCGAGGGCTACATTTAATCCTGCTGGATTTTCTGACAGAAGCAGAGCACCGACCTCACTGTATTTACTGTTGTCTCAATAACAGCCCTCATTATAGAACTGACCGTAAGAGGAAGCCTATGGATTTATCATTTACAGTGCTCATACACTGCGTTGACAAATAATTTAACAGGGGATGATGGCCTTTGAAATCGGGCTGGATTCCAGAGCTAATTTAAAAAAGGGCTTCAGATTACACAGGCTCAGTGTAATTGACTTTTTCTTTCATTGTAAAAATGAGTAGTGAATACACACTATTTTGCTCCGTAGTGATGTTACATTCCTCAGGGTTTGTTGAAAAGCTTGACTTATGTCTGTCAAAAAAAGCATATTAAAGGATCAAGAAAATGTTGAATGTGTAGGCCATCCCCCCTCCCAGGAAATATGTTTGTAATTAACCAATTTCAAAATCAAAGCACTGAAATTACTGTCAAAGTTGAGGGAAAATGGAAAAACATTTCAAAGACCAACAGCCACAGAAGCAGACATTGTTTGCCAGTGGTATTCGTCATAGAATAAATAAAGCAAAACAAAGGTAACCTGTTTTAACTGTCATAAATAATAATTCACCACTGTGGTGAATGATGTAGAAATCCCACTATGCACAGCTGAGAGCTTGAGTAACGACTTACTGCTGTTACTCATTAACCAGGAAAACAAGCAAGCTGCTGTTGTCCTGTTGTGGTGGGGTTATTAGAAGAACTTTAGTCTAAGAAATGACAGCATAGAAATGACCTGTAAGGTCCTTCAGTCCTTTTAGAAAGAGTGTAAAATGCTTCATATTGAAATAAAGTAACATTTTAATATAAATAATGTATTAATGTATAGGAAAATTAAATATGTTTTACCTCTTAAATCTTTTTTGGATTTCTTAAAGTAAAAACAATGTATTTAATCTAATTCTAAACCACAGTAAACAAATGAATCCTGCAGCTAATTTCCCAGAAGTCCTCATCCCTGGGAGAGTGTATCTGTTGATTCAGGTAGGAGCATGTCTCTGGGTGCAGTTCACTGAGCAACGCTGTGATAACACCTGGTTACATGCAGGTATCCATGGTTGGCTTAGGCAAGTTTGCGTGCGGAGAGCTGTTTACGGTTATGTTGTGTCAAAAGAAATCGCTCAAAGTGGATTTTAATTGGAGACACTGTCTGAAGGTGTGACATTTGCCTTTTCAATCTGATTTCAGTTTTTTTATGTGAAGGACATATGGTATAACTGCTCCAGTATGTGTAAAATAATGTGTTTTTGACATTTATGTTTCTGGGTCTATGCAGTGTTGATTTTAATTTAGCTTTTTCCATTTCCGGCTCACACGCCCAGTTTCCTATTATAAGTTGTCTTGTTCTTTAATACTCTTGACACCTTTCCTAGATATGCTTGCAGGATACCTTACCACAGAAAACATGAACAACTTAGTTCATTTCTCAACCACACTGATAAAAGCCGATAGTACCCTTGGCAAATCACCTGCACGAAAGGATGTAAATTCGGGATCTGCATCAGTCCCTTCGCCAATTCAGCAGCACCTCGGGCTTGTTTTACAGGGAGGCTCTGAATGCCTTGTCCACAAAGTCAAGCTAAAGTCTGTCGGCCCAAGAGGGTTAAGGTCAGGCATTCTTTGAACGGTGGCAAGTGGTCTTCATTTCATCAAAGCAGATGCATTGCTTGCTGGGGAATAGCCTGCATCTTCTGAAACAAGACATTAGCTGTGATTCTAGTGAGCTCAATCCCTTGGTTGTGTAAAATGAATGACCCATACAACAAATGTTTTTCTCAAGAGGGCTATATACAAAGTTTGCACATAGTGAAACAGTCACTCATGTGTCTGTGTTCATTATAAGACTAAAAGGTCTGAATGACTGCCGAGCGCTACTGTGATAGCTCTTAGGAGCAGTTTTTTTCCTTTCCTACAGCGGCTAACCACCACTGTACCCAGACATTAACTGTACCTCCACAGGTCAGCTGGTCACTCTGAAGACTCACTGTGCAGCGTCACTTGTACTCGGCTCAAAAAGGCCTTTCCCGAAGTGACCTCTTTCATAAGCAACTGTTTCAGTGAGCTAAATTAGGAGATACAGTAACTATGCAGAAGCAGGCGATTAATCAAGTTCATTAGCAGTGGGGGCTCATGCCAAGAATCCGGTCTGCGTTCGGGGGGAGGGAGCAAGGTGGCTCCGAGGAGTGCGCTCGCCGAGTGGGAGCAGAGGGCACTCGCTCTGCGGGGGGCCAGGACTGGGGGAGGGCCTTGGGCTACTGGGGAGGAAAAGGAATTGGAAAGGAGAGAAGGATATTAAATGACGGGAATTTCTAATTGTTTTTTTTTTCTATTTGGTTATTTGTCAAAAAGTACATTTTGTCCAGTGGTTTTACAGTTTCTGCATTCCAGCCCCCCTGCGGACCATGGCAAATCCTTTACTTCAAGGCTGAAAGTCCCTTTCGAGAGGGTCGGTTTCGGGGAGCCTTTCATTGTTTTAATGTTGGACGTCAGGGGCAGACGGGGAATGGTTTAACGAATTTCATGCATTCTGAGAGTATATGCATTGGAGGGGGCTTTCATTTAGTTAATTACACGTTAATACCTGAGGCCTTCGCGTGACTGACCCCCGCGTTGTGAGGCATCACTACTAGAAATGTGTTCCAGTGGGTTTTTTAAAATGATCTACTGAGTTCCAAGAAGGCAAAGATTTTTAAATAAACCATTTATTGCATTTGTGACTGTGGAATCCTTCATGCCAAGGTGTACTAAAGGGACCAGAGAAGGAATTTAACCGGTAGAGAAATTCCCAAGGTCTTGTGTTGCCATGGCAACCCGTCGAACGGGACACACGACCTTTTGG